ACTGATGATTTGTGTCGCAAGAATCCCTGTAAGCACAATGCTGATTGCCGCAATACTTGGAATGATTATGTGTGCAGCTGTCCGAATGGTTATAAGGGCAAAAATTGTCAAGAGATCGAGTTTTGTCAACTGGTCACTTGTCCGGGCAGCAGTATATGTCAGAATCTTGACGATGGTTATGAGTGCTTGACGAACATCACTTTTAAAGGCAGTGAGAAAAATCCGTTAGCGTTCACTTACTTTGTTGAGCAACCGCCAGAGGAGCCAAAAATGCTTGTGAAACCGGTGATAGAGATTGCGTACAGAACACGTGCCGGCGGCACACTCTTCTATGTGGAGTACGGTGAGAGCTTCTTTGAAATCGGCGTAAATCAGGGACAGGTTACTGTTACCTGGAAGCTGAGTCAAGAGCCGTTTGGCGATACCAAGCGTTTCACCAAGGATACAGCCGATCCCAGCCACATGGAGCTGATGAATGAGCCAGGGTATGTTTCCAATTGTAGTTCGACTTCATTTTTGCTTACCGTGAATGTTTTTCTTCTCCTTCATTCAACAGCTGGAACCGCATTTATCTACGCGTGCAGGGCGGCAAACTCGAGGGTGGCTGGAAGGGTTGGGAAAGCATGGTCGATCCATCGCCCACCTTCTCGGCGGACATTGATCAACTTGCTTTTCAGGAGCTACTCTCTAGCGATACGCAAATCTATCTCGGCGGCATGCCCACTGATAGCCGGCAGGCGCGTGGTAGCAGCTCAGCACAGCAGGGCTCACAATTCAAGGGTTGCCTGGGTGAGGCGCGCGTAGGCGATCTTTTGCTGCCATATTTCTCCAACGCCGAGATGTATCCACGCACTGAGAACGTATCCGTACAACCGCAATCGCAATTCCGTCTCAACTCATCCAAACCCGATGAAGGTTGTGTGCTCTGCTTCAATACGGACTGTAAAAATGGCGGCTATTGTAGCTCGCCATCGGAGCAGTATGCCTGCAAGTGTCTGGCTGGCTATGAGGGGGACGATTGCTCGATCGATATTGATGAGTGCTTGACGGCAACTTGTGAGAATAACGCCACTTGCATCGATAGGGTGGCGGACTTCCAGTGTCGCTGCTTGCCCGGCTATGATGGACGTTTCTGCGAGCATAACATTGATGAGTGCGCCTCCCAGCCGTGTCATAATGGCGGCACCTGCACAGATCTCATTGCGGCTTTCCATTGCGAGTGTACGGATGACTATGCGGGCACACAGTGTGACTTGTTAAAGCAAGTGACCTGCGAAAATCTACCCTGTCGCAACGGATCGACGTGCAAGGATGGATTTAGTAAGTGATTTGGGTCAATTTTACTTCTCACATTTGTATTAACCTGATTTTACATGCCCCAATAGATGCGATCACCAGCAACAACTTCACTTGTCTTTGTATGGCCGGCTTCGAAGGACCCTACTGCGACGTGCCCTTCTGTGAGACGACACCCTGTCAGAACGGTGGCCTTTGCATACTCGCCGATCCTTTCGTAAGCTCATGTTTGCTGTGTCTTTTACTTTACTCTCAAAATATTTCTTTACCGCTCACAGACGCCGCTATGTCAGTGCAGTCTGGGCTACACCGGTCGTTTATGTGAGGAGGACATCAACGAGTGCGAGCCGAATCCATGTCTTAATAACGGCGAATGCCATGATCTCATCGGCGGCTATCTATGCAACTGCACCAATACCGGTTTCGAAGGCATCAACTGCGACATCGACATCGATGAGTGTGCATTGGATATTGAGTATTGCGGCGGATTGGGACGCTGCATCAATTTACTGGGCTCTTTCAAATGCATTTGTCAGGACAACTTCTGTGGCGCTTACTGCAATCTAACCGATCCATGCAAGAACGGAAACTCGCCATGTATGAATGGCGGTACTTGTGAGGAGGAGTGTGGCGATGAGGTAGACTACACATGCAATTGCACCACCGGTTATGAGGGCAAGGACTGCGCGTTGGTGGTGAGTATAATAAGCGAACGGGGGGAAAAAATTACATCAGTTGCTAATTAAATTTTAAATTTATGCGCGCAGATGGCCGCCAAAGATGACGGTCCCTCCACCGCCGANAGTCGGTTATGAGGGCAAGGACTGCGCGTTGGTGGTGAGTATAATAAGCGAACGGGGGGAAAAAAATTTAATCAGTTGCTAATGAAATTTTTAATTTATGCGCGCAGATGGCCGCCAAAGATGACGGTCCCTCCACCGCCGACATTGCCATCATCGTGATACCCGTTGTGGTGGTGCTGCTGCTTATTGGTGCTGCGCTGTTGGGCACCTTCCTAGTTATGGCGCGTAATAAGCGTGCGACGCGCGGCACTTACAGTCCCAGTGCGCAAGAGTACTGCAATCCGCGACTGGAGATGGACAATGTGCTTAAACCGCCACCAGAGGAGAGGCTCATTTAGTTGCAGTAACTGGCCGATTTTGGAAATTTCTATGAGGGAGACAAGATATGTTGTTAATTTCTTTTTTTTTTAACTACAAATTAGTTAATGTTGTCTGGAGACGTGCGAAATCAAAAAGCGAAGAAAACTAGAAAGAAAATATCTTTGTGTAGACTTATTTAAATGTGTTTATCCGCCCATTAATTGTAGTTATAGTCAATAATTAAGCTTTTACGTTTAAATAATTTGAGAGGAGCGCATAAAAGTTGAGATGAAAATGCATCGGCGGGTCGAAAAATTGGGCGCGCGAGTCAATCAATTATGCTCGAGAGTACAAAAAGTGAGTGGATCAAAGAAAATATTTGAAATTTTAGATGATCGCGAACCAAAAACTTCGTTAAAAAGCAGAAAAAAATCTCTTAGCAAAGACGAAATTTACTCAAACTAATGAAAGGGTGGAGGAAGATGCGTCAGCGAGTCGAAAAAGTGCGCGCGTGTATTGAAAATGTATGCTCGCGTGTCTAAAACTNGTTGAGATGAAAATGCGTCGGCGGGTCGAAAACTTGGGCGCGCGAGTCAATCAATTATGCTCGAGAGTACAAAAAGTGAGTGGATCAAAGAAAATATTTGAAATTTTAGATGATCGCGAACCAAACACTTCGTTAAAAAGCAGAAAAAAGTCTCTTAGCAAAGACGAAATTTACTCAAACTAATGAAAGGGTGGAGGAAGATGCGTCAGCGAGTCGAAAAAGTGCGCGCGTGTATTGAAAATGTATGCTCGCGTGTCTAAAACTACAGTCATTTCTCAAAAATTATGATTGCCCACAGTTTCCCATGAATTTGACAAAAAAATAAATAAATGTACTAGGAAGTGTGAAACCATTTCAAAAAAAAAAAAAAATTATTAAGAGCGATCAAACACTAAAATAAGCTGCAGCCGATTTTGTGAAACATATTCGAACGCTGATATACTTAAATAAGAAATGAATAATTTTGTTAATAAGTTTAATGATAAAACAGCAATATTTATATTCATATGTACGTAGTAGATACTGCAGTAAGTATGATATTTTTCGACGACGAATGTATCTAGGTATATATGTAGATACTCATGTGCTCAGTAGAATCGCAGCATAGATACTTACATATTTCAAAATATTTACTATTTTATTTTATTTGTACTTTTTTTATTTGCTAGTTATATAGTTATAAGGTTTAAAACCTCAGTATTGNGCAGTCGTTTGTCAAAAATTATGATTGCTCGCAGTTTCCCACGAAGTTGACAAAAAAAATATTGCAAGTCGAAGATTAAAAAAAAAAACTCCCGCACGTATTTTTGAAAAGTATTTCATACACTTGCTCATAAAAATAATTGAATATTTCTTAAGACTTTAATACATGTACTAAGAAGATTGAAACCGTTAAAAAAAATTTATTAAGAGCGATTAAACACTAAAATAAGCCGCAGCCGATTTTGTGAAACATATTCGAACGCTGATATACTTAAATAAGAAATGAATAAGTTTAATGATAAAACAGCAATATTTATATTCATATGTACGTAGTAGATACTGCAGTAAGTATGATATTTTTCGACGACGAATGTATGTAGGTATGTATGTAGATACTCATGTGCTCAGTAGAACCGCAGCATAGATACTTACATATTTCAAAATATTTACTATTTTATTTTATTTGTACTTTTTTTTATTTGCTAGTTATATAGTTATAAGGTTTAAAACCTCAGTATTGTGCTTTAAGGCCAAGCGAGCAATAAATTTACTGACAAGAATTTAATAGTAGATAAATTAAATTACGAAAACATATTAAATTAAATACATAATTCAATTGTTACTACCAATCAATTCGAATCCATATGGACCTGGACTTCCAAAATTATTTACTTATACAAACACATACACACATTTATACAAATATCTGTACATACTTACATATCGAAAATTTGACAATTAAGTATAGAAAATTTATTAAAACAAAAGTGCACTTATAAAAGTTAAAGCTAAATTTACTATTTCGTATATTAAAAAGGTTTAGATAAGAAAACATTTCATAGTACTAAATAATAAACGAAAAAATTCAAATTTTCTATACAAATATGTGCAACTTTCGCCTTATTGCGTGGCCTTATTTTAAATAAGTATAACGTTAATAAATTCATATTTCAATTTGCAAATATTTAAAAGTTAAAGTTATTTAAATTTTTTTATGAAAACATACGTATATTTATATATTATGCTATACTATATACGCGTATACAAACACACATATATATACATTAATTAATACAAGCGTAATTTAACTTAGAGACTGTATTATATAAAATCGACTAATTTATATGTAATATTAATAAAGACCTTTGAAAATTANGCGTGGCCTTATTTTAAATAAGTATAACGTTAATAAATTCATATTTCAATTTGCAAATATTTAAAAGTTAAAGTTATTTAAATTTTTTTATGAAAACATACGTATATTTATATATTATGCTATACTATATATGCGTATACAAACATACATATATACATTAATTAATACAAGCGTAATTTAACTTAGAGACTGTATTATATAAAATCGACTAATTTATATGTAATATTAATAAAGACCTTTGAAAATTAAAAAGTGTGCTTTTTTTTGTGCCAACTGAACCGATTGGAAATGCCGGCTTTTTCCTCCGTACGACATTACCGTAGCAGAGAAGTCGCTGTATTTCAATTTGTTGCTCTATGACTATGTCGTTGTGTCATAGAAGCTCTGTCATGTCCCAGAGTGATAACTGGGGAACTAATTTTTAGTACCCCAAAAATCTATAAAAACTAATTTCATAGTTGGTTTGGGCCAAGACCAAAAACCTTCGCCAATTGGCAGGCCCATCCGCACTTGGTCCGTCTAGTTTGTTCGTGGGCGCCTTTCGGTGTCCACCCAGGGTGCCTAATCGAAGTATCTTTTCAGCGCCATCGCTGTATTTGTATGCGCTTGACTATGTCCATGTCGTTAAAAAGCTCGTAGAGTTCGTCATTCCGTCATCTTGTTTGATACACGTCGCCCACACGAACAGAGCCATAGATCTTGCGTAGAATAGTTCTCTCAAAAGTCCACAAAAAATTCTAATCTTTGTTCGACTTTGCCCACGTTTCTGCATAATGAGAGATTTGTAGAGCGTAATTTTTTTTTTTCGTCGAGAAAGAGCTCTGCTCCTTAATTGCCTTCCGAGTAGCATCTATTGGCAAGAGTTATTAATCACAGTCCTTGCTTTATATGCGAGGGGAGCGGGTCCCAAGCGCAGCGCACAACCATTGCAGGGATGAGTGGTTTTTCAGCCGAACATACGTTTATAAAGCGAGCCGCTTGCTCTAAGACAGACGCCCGCTTGCAGCCGCACCTACTGGTTAACATAGCTGCAGACTTCAGTGCACCCTAAAACCGAATAGTTAAGTGGGAGTAGTGGCCCCACCCGAAGCGCCGTCTCTTTCTACCGTGGCCCAAAGCATTACTCAGATTATTTATGGGTTTCTCACATTGCCCAGACTGCGCTAACGAGGGCGCAAGAGTTGAGATTGAGTGTAGCAGTGCAATTGTAACTGCTTACCCAGAAGAACGACTATACAAAATTTTTACTTTGAGTATTTTCTTCTTTCGAGTTTTAACTCATAAAATCTTACTCCCTATAGTTGTAGTAACATTGAAGCTATGAACACGAAATCTTTGCACTTTCTTCACTTGTAATGAACAGCCAGGTTGCAGTGAAAATCATCAGCTTCGGGGCAATGTAATTTATAGTTTCCTTGCAACTGAATGTTCAGATAAGAGGTTTGAGCTATTTACTTATCAATCAATCTTTCGTTCAGCGTCTCCTACAGATCCATCATTTGTCAGAACCGCTTTAAGGCGTGCGATTTCAGCAGGCAGTTTCCCGTTAGATGATCAAACAGTAGCGTAGCATCTTCCCTCTTGAGGGATGGTAGAAACTTTACGAACCTTATGTCATACGGTCTGGACACTTTGCAGTCTTGTTTTTTGATTCACACCTTCTGCGCTTTCGGGATCATGGACAGTTCGAGCTTCCATTAAATCGGCACTTCCTCTATCAGCAATGTTTCTGACAGAGCACCTTATTTGGCAAGCCTATCGTCATTTCCGTTACTCGTGACACCAGTGTGCCCTGGAACCCAGTACAGATGAGCGCCTGTGCCAGTAATTAGCACATATCCCGCACCCTGACACACTTACTGGCGAAGAGCTATGCGATAAAAGAGCCTTTATTGTATCTTGACTTTCGATATGGAGATTCNTCTTGCAGCTTAATGTTCAGATAAGAGGTTTGAGCTATTTACTTATCAATCAATCTTTCGTTCAGCGTCTCCTACAGATCCATCATTTGTCAGAGCCGCTTTAAAGGCCTGCGATTTCAGCAGGCAATGTCATGTTAGATGATCAAACAGTAGCGTAGCATCTTCCCTCTTGAGGGATGGTAGAAACTTTACGAGCCTTATGTCATACGATCTGTACATAATAGTGGACAGCTTGCAGTCTTGTTTTTTGGTTCACACCTTCTGTGCTTTCGGTATTATGGACAGTTCGAGCTTCCATTTAATCGCTTGAAGAGAAATCGGCACCTCCTCTATCAGCATTGTTTCTGACAGAGCACCTTATTTGGCAACCCTCTCGGCATTTTCGTTACTCGTGACACCAGTGTGCCCTGGAACCCAGTACAGATGAGCGCCTGTGCCAGTACTTAACACATATCCCGCACCCTGACACACTTGCTGGCGAAGAGTTATGCGATAAAAGAGCCTTTATTGTATCTTGACTTTCGATATGGAGATTCACCGGTTCAAGCAGTTTAAAGGATTTGTTAAGCGCAGACGACTGCTGATCCAACGCCTTTCTCCATCCTCGACCGTCCGCATAGACACTCATCGAGCCGTAAGCCGTCATGTTAGCCCTCGATCTCCATAGTTCAGGGTTCGGCTTGCAGAGCAGGTCCGGAATCATGTAGTCAATCCGTCTAGGCAAAGTTGACGCTATACTACTGTGCCCTTAGGCACTGCGCACGAGCTACCCCGTAGCATTGAGCCTGTTGGCACAGTTTTGGCCGCTATATTCTTAAACGATAAGTCCGACGGCAATAGATGCAACAAAATATATATAAAGTGCTACCGTCGGTGTAGTGCTAAATGGTTCTGTCATGCCGATCATTGATAGCCTAAATACACTCTCTATTCTTTAAAGAAATGTTGTCTTCTACATTGCTATCTACCCAACGAATAACCAGTGGAACAGTATCGGCCTTACTACCGACGTGACGATCCAGTAAGAAANTAGTGTTTTCTTCTACATTGCTATCTACCCAACGAATAACCAGTGGAACAGTATCGGCCTTAAGAAAGAGAAGGCGATAAGCCCCAGTTACAGTCCAGCTTAGAAAGCAACTGAGGTCTTCTCGCCCTCTGAGGCGTCACGAAAGTTACTGTCAAGTATTGTTTCCAGATACTTGGTGATTTGCTTCGGCTGGAGGGTCACACCAACCAGCTTAGGCTTAGGCCAATTCGGAACCTTTTACTTCCGGGTGAAGAGTACCGGATCTTCTTTGGTTATCTTAAGATGTATTTTCAGTAGTACTTGACTCATAAATGAGCTGTTACGGACATACACTTCCTACTTACTATGACAGGANAAATGTTGTCTTCTACATTGCTATCTACCCAACGAATAACCAGTGGAACAGTATCGGCCTTACTACCGACGTGACGATCCAGTAAGAAAGAGAAGGCGATAAGCCCCAGTTACAGTCCAGCTTAGAAATCCACTGAGGTCTTCTCGCCCTCTGAGGCGTCACGAAAGTTACTGTCAAGTATTGTTTTCAGATACTTGGTGATTTGCTTCGGCTGGAGGGTCACACCAACCAGCTTAGGCTTAGGCCAATTCGGAACCTTTTACATCCGGGTGAAGAGTACCAGATCTTCTTTGGTTATCCTAAGATGTACTTCCAGTAGTACTTGGCTCATAAATGAGCTGTTACGGACATACACTTCCTACTTACTATGACAGGAATATTCTACGCTTATGCAGTAAGCTTGGCAGGTCCTCCATCCATTTTCTTTAGTATCCTCTTTACCGCCAGCGGCCACAGGAGCGGCGATAATACGGCTTATGTGGCAGACCCCATTGCTCCGAAATACTTCTGCAACTCAAAAGACTGCTTATCCAGTTCAAGGTTGTGCGGTGAACCCCTACCATCGTCATTCTGTCTTCTACGTCCCAACGAGAATTATCCATACTCTAAAGCCGCCTCTAATCGAAACATTTTTTTAGGTCGTTATTGATCGATCTTCTCTTCGTGTAAGCATGTTGTGTCTTTGTGAGCATTATACGTCTATCAACACCTGGAAAGTCTTTTGAAGAAACGATATTAGGCGGATGGGAGAGAAGCCTCGTTGTCCTCCAAGACGTTGACTCAATCAAGATCTGGCCTGTCATTTCTGACCTTCTGTCATTTCCGTGTAACTTCGCTTCACTTCACTTCTCGAAATAAACCAATTTAATTTTTCATAGCACTCTGTAAACAGGTATTAAGTTGTTGGGGGATGTTATGTTATGGCAATTTCGTTTCTACAAAAAATGTTGCCTTCTCATCGCCCTCTTCTTAGTGGCATTAAACAAGATCTGAACTGAATTTGTTAAAAAAATTGGGACTGTGAGCAACAAGAAAGGCAGGAAAAAATAATTTGTCATTTTTATGCCTAACAACACAGATGCATAAGCTTATGTATATACATATGTACATTAGGATGGCCCAAAAATGCATGTGGAAAAAAAGTAAAGGCATAAGTTTAATGCTCTCACCCCCTATGACTGTTCTNGGTCGTTATTGATCGATCTTCTCTTCGTGTAAGCATGTTGTGTCTTTGTGAGCATTATACGTCTATCAACACCTGGAAAGTCTTTTGAAGAAACGATATTAGGCGGATAAGAGAGAAGCCTCGCTGTCCTCCAAGACGTTGACTCAATCAAAATCTGGCCTGTCATTTCTGACCTTCTGTCATTTCCGTGTAACTTCGCTTCACTTCACTTCTCGAAATAAACCAATTTAATTTTTCATAGCACTCTGTAAACAGGTATTAAGTTGTTGGGGGATGTTATGTTATGGCAATTTCGTTTCTACAAAAAATGTTGCCTTCTCATCGCCCTCTTCTTAGTGGCATTAAACAAGATCTGAACTGAATTTGTTAAAAAAATTGGGACTGTGAGCAACAAGAAAGGCAGGAAAAAATAATTTGTCATTTTTATGCCTAACAACACAGATGCATAAGCTTATGTATATACATATGTACATTAGGATGGCCCAAAAATGCATGTGGAAAAAAAGTAAAGGCATAAGTTTAATGCTCTCACCCCCTATGACTGTTCTATATCGGAAAAGTATACCCCTGTTTTTTTTATTTATTTCGAAATCAAAAAATATTTAAAGGTCTCTCAAAGCCCTATGGGAAAAACATACAATTTTTCGTAGAAATAAAATAGAATCCTTGAAAAAAATTTTCGTTGGATCGAAAAACTCTGTTTCTTTTCAAAAGACTAGTACCCAACTGTTTACCAATTTTTAATACTTACGATTTTTTATACATGTCACTATTGAATTTTTTGTAGTTGTATATATATATATATAACAAAAAATCACTAATAAAAAATGGCCAAATAAACAATTGGGTATTAATGTTGGAAGTTTTTTGAAGAAAGACTGAGTTTTCCGATCGAAAAAATTTTGATTTTGAAGAGTTCTACACCATTTCCTTGGAAAATTCAGACTTTACTTTTTTTCAGTCACTCTAATGTACATATTGCATACAGAAAATATGTACATACATATGAATGTATTTACACTTGCAAATACGTTTGTATGTATATTAGACTGCACCAAAATATTTCGGAAAAATATTAAGATTTAAGCGAGCTGGACCGATTTGAAAATACCTCGAAAAATTAAGTTTGAAAAAAGTTTGAAAATAGTAAAAAAACAGCATCAAAAATCTCATTATTACGATTCAGTTGGAAAGGTTTTTAAATATTTTTATGCAAATTTTTTAAGCCTAATCTGTTTTGTCATCTGAGTGAACTTTTTTCAAAAATTTCTTTCAGAAACTATTTTTATTCATAAAAAACTCCATTTTTGGAGGTATTTTCAAATCGGTCCAGTTCGCTTAAATCTTAATATTTTCCCGAAATATTTTGGTGGACGTCTTAGATTATAATAGATTTTATAATTCCAATGGAAAAACAGTACCGATTTTTTTATTTTTTTTTTATGGAGAGTGATGCAGTCTATTGTATATGTATAAGTAGGCCAATAAAACATGATAGGACACGTGAAAAATTTTAACAAATACAAGAAATACTAACTGTACATACATACAAATATGTACATACATACATATGTATGTATGTAACTATCCGCTATGAATTTTGAAGATCATAAATACCTTGTAATTTTAGTAAATCTTTTCATAATCGTTTTTATTATTACTACTTTAATAATTCTGCTATAAATTTAATAAAGTGCTTTAAACATTAAACACAACTAACTGAACAACTGAATAAAACATTTGTGGATCAAGAAAGCAGAGGTAGGTGTGCATATTTCATTTTTATGAATGACATTTTTGATTCTTACGTAATGAATTGAAGGGTTTTTGTTGTTGTTACAGCAGCGTTGTTAGTTGGTTGTTTTATTCATCTTCCCTATCTGACAGAGAAACCATAGTATATCCTTACGTTAAGTGATAATGCGATTTTGTCCGATCCATCAAGACTCAACAAGAACAGTTTGGACAGCATCATGCTGCCGCTTGTTCGTGTAGTATTGTTCATCAGAAGTTATTAGGAGACACCCAGTCACGGTTCAAAGGGCCGACGGTTCACATACATATGTATGTATGTAACGAGCAGGATCTAGTTATCCTTTTTCCAAAGGCTGCCGATGAACGAATTGTGGGTCTTTTTTCTGCTTCTGAGTCTATTTCGCACCGATCAGACGATATCGAACGTGCCACCTAGCATCTTTTGCTGGCTGAATCTATCAATTTCTTCATTTAGGTCGAGTCTTACTTTCTACGACCAGGCTTTTGACTTAGCGTCAGATATTTGTAGGTTGCGCGTAGTGAAATATTTGGCAAGATTGCCGAGCTAGCGTCTATTCTTAAAACTTAGAGAGATTCACCCTGAGCTAATAATATGGCAAAGGGTGGTGATCAATTATTCGCCGTTTTTCTAAAACCGGTTTTCGTGTGATTCGAAAAGTTGCAATTTGAAAAACAGTTCCAACTTTCAAATTAAGAAAAAGCAGGAAACCCCCGTTTTATTTTACATAGGCTTCATACATTGATAGTGCTTATGGTGGTATACAGGCCGATTCTGGGAGTTTTCTCTTTTCCCTTACCTCCTATCATGAAAAAAAATCCCTGAGGATTTTTTATATTAAATGGCGGAGTTGAGCTCTCAAAAGAGTGTCGAACAGCTTTTTCGAAACTCGAATTTGCTCCCCAAGTTTTCGGGGAAAATGCTATTAATTAATTATTGGAGGATTTCTTTCTCGGGAGAAACAAATTCCCAGGGAACAAACTCCCCGGGAATATTAAGAATTGGACTGATAAAGTCTTGACCAAAAATTACAATAAAACTATGAACAGTAAATAAACCTTTTATTTAGAAAAGAGCAACACAAAGTAGGTGCAAAGTTTTTTTTTGGATCAAAAGTAAAACAATTAAAAAGCAATGAAAAAAGCACGGTTGGTCTTATTTGAATTATTAAATTATTCCTGATTCGGTCTGGCCGCTTTAGCCGAGTGCTTAGATGTGTCTACTGACACTCGGGAGGCCCATAGTTCAATTTCTGTTAGCAGCAATATAAAAAAAATATTTTTTTTTCAAATAGCAGTCGCCCCTCGGAAGACATTGGCAAAACCTCGAGTGTACTTCTACCATAAAAAAGCTTCTTCGGAGGTGGAGTTAAATTGTAGATCTCTCCATTTGAGTCCCAACATCAACAAGCAGAAAACGATTTGAAGCTTCTCCTCCTTCGGCAAAACATGCAGAAAACGTTTAAGCACAAAACATTGATTTATTGGAATCAAACATGACATACCACTTCCATCCCCAAATAATCTAGCATATAATTTTAAAAATATTTAGGGGTTTCAATTAAACTCGAAAAAGCCTTGGAAACTGCGAAAAGCTCAAAACTTTTATTGGGACGTCCAGTTATGTATGAAATGAAAAAAACCCGTTTGTTCGATAATAAAACCCGGTTTATTCGATATTCGAAAAATTTAGATTTGGCCCTAAGTCCAGATGCATTTAGGGTATTGAGTATCTACATAAGTAGAATATAATACGCGAAGGGATTTTTTGTCCAGGACAAAAGATCTATACCGATCGCCCGATTTTCAGAAATGAGGTGTCAAAGTTATAAGCGCTTAGTCTGTGGATGTATGAACTGGTTTTAGTTTTGGAATAGAGTTGCCACCTATTAAACATTCAACTTAAATTATCCGCACCGTTCGTTCGATCTTCTGAAATGAGGTGTCAAATTAAAGCCTTGGTCCGTAGATGTACAATTAGGTTTTCCTTTTTTTGAAAGGAGTTGCCACCTTTTAAAAAATTATATTCAAATTATTTAAATATTAAATCATATATTACAAAATGGGTATCAATCGAAATGATTTGAAAAGCTTTGTTTCTTAGCTGAACAATGTGAGGGTTACCACCTGTTTAAAAAATCAAATTCAATTTGAACCAAGGGAATTAGGTAAGAGAAATTTGTACGCATGGGTGCCAAACGAAAGGGGTTGAAGAAAGTAGTAGTATTTTGAACAGGGTTGCCATCTGCTTGAAATGTTGAATTTAGTTTACTTATACACAAGTTATATGAAATATCAAAGAATGGATGTCAAGCGAAGGAGCAATAAGAAATCTTAAGTTTGAATACAAGTAATAATTTTGAGGTATTGGAAGAGGGTTACCACCTATTTAAAATTTAAATTCAAATTACTTAATAAGGTAAAAATCTAATTCCACTTAATTTATCAGTTAATTAAGTCAACATTTTTCCATGATGGAAAATTTGATACAGTTCAACAGACAACTTAAACTTTACGGAACTGCATCTTTAAACGAACGAAACTGCATCAATATTGTCATATGCTAACTCCTTCCGATTAACATATATGTTCATAGTGAAAATGAATTCATATTTTGTCCTAGTGATCGGTACATCCATGATAAAAATATACCTTATAAATATTTTTATCATGGGTACATCTATGAAATTTTTACACAACATTTTTGTGGAGTATGAAACTTTTCTAAAAAGGAACGATATGTATGAGTGCCAAAGTAAATTTTGGGAATCTCTAGGGCAATTCATCTAAACGCGTACATGCCTCGTAACAACGTAAACCTCATAAACTTGCTTTATTTTGTATGCGAAACCGGTTTATTTACGGGTTTTACACAGTTACGAGGCATTTACGCGTCTAAAGTGTAAACAGAATCAAATATCTTTTAGATTTGTAATGAATTAAATATTGTTGAGTAAAATTTTAAAATTTCTTAAAATTACTTGGAATGCGATAACAAGAAAAAAAGCACCCATTTTCTGATTTATAACTTTATTACATTTTTTGTTTGCATTTATAATTACTTGATAAGCCGTAAAATTCAAAAAAACGGTTACTATTCTATGTATTTTTCAAGAAATCACTGCAAACACTATTTCGATATCATTTTGTATAGTTATATATAGTTTACAATATATGTATGTATGCTGTTGATTTATTATTATGCGAGAATTTTTATTTTGTTTAATTATTTAAAATTTTTTATATTTTTGTTTTTGTTCCCCTTTTTCATTTGTATTTACGTAAAGCATGACTACGTGGCAATAATTTTTATAATTTTAGTTGTAAATATAAATAAATTTGCATTGTAGCAATGACATTCACATCCAAAATTTAAATATATTTACTAAATCTGTACGTTAGAAGCGAATATAGAACCCAGCAATGGGTTGGTTTTAAACAACCGATGCGACCCATTTAAATTTGTTGCTGCTCTGTACTTCATGATGATAGAAGCTGCACTCCAATTTATTAATGCAGTTTTTGCCAAAGCGACATGCTTTGGGATGATAGAAGGTGCAGCCCACCTTGGTGCATGTAGGATAGTATTTGCACATGGTGTTGGCGGCAGCTGTGGCTGAAATCGATTTGTAATTCTGCACAGGCACGACATGGGAAGCTATGGAAATTGTGAAAAATTAATTAAATATTAATAAATTATCAGAGAATTAAACAAATTGAAGCTAGATTCATCACTTACATAAGGGCGGCGCTTGCGGCACCAGCTGCGCCGGATCACGCGGCCCACTGTGTGCATAGTTACAGTCAAGATTCGTGCAGGCGAGATCGTACTTGCAGTGCGGATGCGAGTATAGACATTTATCTGCATATTTGCAATTGGGGAAACTCTTGCATGGCGCCGTCGGATGATAATAATCACAAAATTGTTTGGTGCAAGTCGGGTGATATTTACAGCGTTCCTTTGTTTTCATAACACGCACTGCTGCTGAGTCTAATGTGACGGAGCTCACTGTAATGAAGTAGAAATATATATTAATGTTTAGTCGACTATAACAACAACCCATAATTCAATTATAATAATTGAAGCATGACTACAACCAGCTAAGAATTATTTTATTAAATAAAGATCAATACTCACATGACGGTATGTTGTCATACTTCTTCGCTTCCATATTGCGCGTTGAGATCTTGCGGCGCTCCTCGCCACTATGGCGATCAGCCGAGTAATCACGCGATGCAGCACGTTCATGAT